ACATAGTCTCAATATTTTTTAGATTGTTTATTTGCCAAATCTAACTGAATACTAATTTTGTTTTAAAACTTAAAAATAGTTTGCAATTATTTTCTTATGTTTTTTTTTTTTTTTTGCGTAATAAACACGAGTATTTTGTTTGTTTTAAATAGAATTTAAATGTATTAAAGGCAGGTGGTTTTTCAAATTCAAAAGATAAGAAAAAAGGGGGGAGAAAAAAAGGAGAGGAGGGGAGGAGAGGAAAAAACGAACGGGGAAAGGAGGGAGGGAAGAAAAACGGGGGAACAAAGGGGGCAGGGAGGGGAAGAACGGGAAGAAGAGGAAAAGGGCGGGACAAGGGGGGGGGCAGGGGAAAAAGACAAGGGCAAAGGCGGGAAGGGGACAAGAACAGAAGCGGGGAACAAGGAGAAGGAGGGGACGGAAAAAGGGAGAAAAGAGGGGGAGCGAGCGAGGAGCGAGCGAGCGAGGAGCGAGCGAGGAGCGAGCGAGCGAGCGAGCGAGCGAGCGAGCGAGAGAGCGAGCGAGCGAGCGAGCGAGCGAGGAGCGAGCGAGCGAGGCGAGCGAGCGAGCGAGCGAGCGAGCGAGCGAGCGAGCGAGCGCGAGCGAGCGAGCGAGCGAGCGAGCGAGCGAGCGAGCGAGCGAGCGAGCGAGCGAGCGAGCGAGCGAGCGAGCGAGCGAGCGAGCGAGCGAGCGAGCGAGCGAGCGAGCGAGCGAGCGAGCGAGCGAGCGAGCGAGCGAGCGAGCGAGCGAGCGAGCGAGCGAGCGAGCGAGCGAGCGAGCGAGCGAGCGAGCGAGGAGCGAGCGAGCGAGCGAGCGAGCGAGCGAGCGAGCGAGCGAGCGAGCGAGCGAGCGAGCGAGCGAGCGAGCGAGCGAGCGAGCGAGCGAGCGAGCGAGCGAGCGAGCGAGCGAGCGAGCGAGCGAGCGAGCGAGCGAGCGAGCGAGCGAGGAGCGAGCGAGCGAGCGAGCGAGCGAGCGAGCGAGCGAGCGAGCGAGCGAGCGAGCGAGGAGCGAGCGAGCGAGCGAGCGAGCGAGCGAGCGAGCGAGCGAGCGAGCGAGCGAGCGAGCGAGCGAGCGAGCGAGCGAGCGAGCGAGCGAGCGAGCGAGCGAGCGAGCGAGCGAGCGAGCGAGCGAGCGAGCGAGCGAGCGAGCGAGCGAGCGAGCGAGCGAGCGAGCGAGCGAGCGAGCGAGCGAGCGAGCGAGCGAGCGAGCGAGCGAGCGAGCGCGAGCGAGCGAGCGGCGAGCGAGCGAGCGAGCGAGCGAGCGAGCGAGCGAGCGAGAGAGCGAGAGAGCGAGCGAGCGAGCGAGCGAGCGAGCGAGCGAGCTAGCGAGCGAGCGAGCGAGCGAGCGAGCGAGAGAGCGAGCGAGCGAGCAGCGAGCGAGCGAGCGAGCGAGGCGAGCGAGCTAGCGAGCGAGCGATCGATCGAGCGAGCTAGAGCTAGCTAGTCTCAATCTATCTATGCATCTATTATCTATCATCTAGCTATCTATCGATCTATCTATCTAGCTATCTATCTATCTAATCTATCTATCTATCTATCTATCTATCTATCTATCTATCTATCTATCTATCTATCTTCTGTCCAGACTTAAAGATTTCTTACGACAAGATAACAACTAATAGCTTCGATTGGGACTTGATAAATAATGTACCAACCGACTCTTGTAGACTATGGCAGAAGGTAGTAGGACAAATAGAAAAAGCTCGATTCCAAAACGACTGAAACATTAATGATATCAGACATCAATTGTACACGTGCCGGTTTATAGACAGCTACTAGACTTTAGACCTTTTGAGTTTTGCAAACTTAATTATGCCAAAATAATTTTTTTCAAAAACTTTGTTTCCAAATTGAGACTCAAGTATGAGATTCATCCTACGTCCAATTTTACCAAAACATTTATGAACGTAAACATAATTGATATTAACTTTTAAAACTGAAACTATTTTAACAATTAACTAAAAATTATAGGTATTTCCTTTTATTTCTTATAGTTTTCCTTTAACACTCACCTTTATGGCCCAACACTTTTCGAATCCAACGAATGAATATAAAACAAAATAAAACTTAGAATTTCACCAGATATCAATTTTTCAACTGGTAGCAGTTTATATTAAAACATTTTAAAATCAATGTTTAATTTACGTTTTTATTTTATAAAGATTATTTTATGCGTAAAGTATTCTTTTTTTTTTTGGAATTAAAATTGTCACAAAAACACACACATACAAACAATAACGCAACAACAAAATTATGCAATTTTTGCACCCCTTCTCACTCTTCCAACACTAAAAGTATTTTTTTCCAAAACAATGATAAGCGAAATTTCATTGAAGTCTTTGTTTTTTTAATGAGATTTTCCTATTTAGTTTCTTTTCAGTAATTTCACAACAGAATATTATGCTTTCAATTTAGTAGTATTTTAATTTTATTATGTTTGCAAATTGAAAGGCTTAATTATATTAATTGATTTCGGTTTTTCTTTTACCAATTTACACACTGCCGTTCAACAAACGTTCGTATTCTTTTTTGAGTGTGTTGTGACGGGTGAAATGAAAAAAAAAAACAAAAACATTCGAGAAAAGAAAAACAAAGTCAAAGAGAAATGAAATGTCAGATTTGGTGTTACCAGATGCAGGGGTAAAAATAAAAAGTGCTGCCAAGTTCAAAAATAACTTTTTTGTTGAAGAACATATTGCACGTTAGGTAATACATACATATATTCTTCATAATTCTTTGGTATGATACATTAGAAATTATGTATCATACCAACGTCTTTCATATAGTTTTCTGTCTATTCCATAGTCTAGTCTATGGTATAGTTTATAGTCTATAGTCTCTTCTATAGTCTATTCTATAGTATAGTCTATAATCTATTCTATATTCTAGTCAATAGTCTAGTTTACAGTCTAGTCTATAGTCTAGCCTATAGTCTAGTCTATAGTCTAGTCTATAGTCTAGTATATAGTCTAGTCTAGAGACTAGTCTATAGTCTAGCCTATAGTCTAGTCTATAGTCTAGTCTGGTCTGGTCTAGTCTAGTCTAGTCTAGTCTAGTCTAGTCTAGTCTAGTCTAGTCTAGTCTAGTCTAGTCTAGTCTAGTCTAGTCTGGTATAGTCTAGTCTAGTCTAGTCTAGTCTAGTCTAGTCTAGTCTAGTCTAGTCTAGTCAAGTCTAGTCTAGTCTAGCCTAGTCTAGTCTAGTCTATAGTGTAGTCTAGTCTATAGTGTAGTCTAGTCTATAGTGTAGTCTAGTCTATAGTGTAGTCTAGTCTATAGTCTAGTCTATAGTCTAGTCTATAGGTCTATACCTATTATTTTAAAAAGAACTTAAATTTCCTGGCATAAATCTTTCAAATTCGTTTAACAAATTCCTAAATTACTTCATTTCCTCTTATTTCCACCATTTTCCTACAATTCCTAGTATTCAACAAATTTTGTTGATGTGGCAACTTCAATTATGCAATTCTAATTAGTTTCCGTCGTGATTGCAACCGGTCAACAAGTAGTTCTTGTAAAGTGTAATAAAATTGCAATAAATTATTTAAATATCTTATGAATATCGTTAAAATGTATTAATTGTGTTATTTAGCATTTAAATAATCTAATAAGCAATTGGGAATTTGTGAATTAGTGTTAATTATATGAAAAAATAGTGCAACACAAGCTGTGGGGTATGTGTGTGTCATGTAGTTGTTATAAAGTGTTAAAAAATAATAAAATATCTTATGGAAGTTGCTAAAAGTAGTATTAAAATATCGTTAGTCAATTAAATAATGCAATAATTTATTGCAAATATTGGAAAAAGTGTTAATTATAAGAAAAATTTGTGCAACAAGTGAATATGTTTGCAGGTGTATGTGTGTGAAAATTTTGCATGAAATGTGCGCCAAAAAAAATCAACAACAAAACAGTAGGAAGGGAAAGCAAAACAAACAAAATAATGAAGTTACCATACGGTTAATATGACAGCTAAGGAAAAGGGTGAGTTGCCAGCTTGAAATTTTAGTATATCATCAAGGCAAGGCCGTTATATTTGAAATTTGTTAATTGAGACAAGTTACCAGATGGTTTATTAGATGTTTTAGGTTGATTTGATAGAGTGGTAACTTCTCAAAGGTTTAAATTGTTAATTTAACGGATAATTGCAATAATTAAGCGTTTTACTTTAGAATTTTAAGAAATAATAAGTAATAGGTTTACTTTTTATAGGGTAGAAAAAGAAATTACTAAATTTAAATGAAGTTTTGAACTAAATTAATTATTAAATTGGGAATTTAATGAATTTTGAATTAGATAGAAAAATCAAATAGGTTTTTGGATTATTTATAGAAATTAGAAATAGTTTGAGAATAAATTTGTTAGAAATTTTGGTGAACTCAAGTAGTTTTTAAATTTCTATTAAAATGGATGGAAATAAGAAATAAGTTTGCTAATTGGGAATTTGAAGATGTGGAACTATTGCAAATTTTATTTGAAAAAGTATTTCGTGTTGAATAAAAACTCTTTTTAATGTTTTTTTCTGAATTTATTGTGCGATTTTTTTTCTGTTCTAATACTTAACATTTTGTTTTTTATTTATTTATTTTAATTAAATTTATATAATTTTAAATATTTATTTTTCTTTTAAAAACTACACAAAAATTATTTACAAAATAATTTACATTTTCTTCTTTTGATATTTTAACAATTTTTTAAAATTACTTTTAATATTTTTTAATATATTTTACTGCAAAAAGAAAACTAAATTAAAAAAATTCAAGGAACATTGTTGACTTTAAGATTTTAAAAAATTTTCTTTTAAGAAATGTTAAAAATCTTTTACATATTTTTTGCTGGAGGATATATTAAACTAAATACTGTAATAAATTTGCTAAATATTTTGTTTCATTTTTAAATATTTCCTTTTTAAATGATTTTATATTTTTTAAAAATTAAACAAAAATTTATTTATTAATATTTTTCTTAAATAAAATTAATAAATTTTTTGTTATTTTATCAGAAAATTTATTAATTTTATTTAGCAGTTTTAAAAAATAACATTATTTTGTTCTACATTATTTTTAAATAGAGTTTTTTAAGTAATATAAAATAACTAATTTAATTAGATTAATCTTAAAAGTATCACTAAGTTAAAGAAGTACAACTCTAAGAGAAATCAAGTTAATAAGCTTCTCTGTATTGCCATTAAGCCTACAGAGTTGTATTTTCAACTACAGTTTGATTACAATTGAGACCACAGCCACAAGCGGCACAGAACTATCTCAAACATTTAGCATGAAAAACTAGAAAACGTTTGCCTTTTAAAAAAGATTTTCTTCAAAATTTTTGCTCTCTCTTAGACGATCTAATATTTTGTTTATAAAGCTTCAAGCCTTTTTCGTTTTTCATCGCCTCTCGTAATCAAACTTTCAGATTTTTTTCAAAAAATCGCTAGTAGTTTTATAGTTTACACATAACTATTACTATGAATTAATTTTAGTCAGTAAAGGTTGGGTAACAGCATTAACTGTTGCCGGATGATGATGATTATGATGCTGATGATTCTTTCCTGTTGCTACTACCCTTTCGTTGGTAGACTCCTCCAATACAGTTTTGGGATTTGTAGTTGTGGACAAATTGTCATCGTCCTCTAAACCATTTGCGGGATTTTGTAACAATTGAAAATTTCTACAATTATTGGCTTTAACTAAATTTTGATATTGACTAGAGGAGCTATGACAATTGTTTAATTGTGGAGAAGCCGTCAAGGCATAATGCTGCTGCGGCTGTTGTGTATGATGATTGTTATGATTAACTAAATAATTATCGCCATTTAAAACTTTATTTGTTGCTATAATCGTACTATCTAATTCTTCTTCAGCCTCCGCCTCACCCTCTTCGTCTTCGTAGACATGTCTAGATACTAGAGTTTGAGTTTCTTCGGGATTTTCACTTAGATTAAATTTAATACGATTTGCACTATTTAAACTGGCCGTTTCGCTAGTATTCATTAAGCTGGTTATGGTGGGTGAATTCTTTAATCTCAATCTTGAGGCTGCCGGTTGCAAGAGTCCCGTTAAATTTGAATTTGATAGCGTAGAGGACAATTGCGTATAGCTATGCTTGTTACTATTGTGGGACTTTAAAGTGCCCGATAGGGGCAATCTAAAATTGGCCATTTCCCAACAACCTTCTTTGGGTTCGTCGCGTAGAGAACGGCTGCTGTAAATATCATTTGCGGGTAATTTGATTGAATTCATGGCAATTCCTTTAGCACTAGCTTCCAGATAATTGTATAGATCATCAGTCTTGTAATCACTGCCATTCAGTTTGGGTGAGGAAGAGGAAATCTTACGTTTTACTCTTAAATTTGGTGAGTTCTGTCTACTATCCGGGTTTTGTTGTGGCGCCTGCAGCTGATAGGGCGGCAGAAATTGTGCTGCATCGGAATTTTGTTTGTGCAGCAAGCCACAGCGTGGTACCTGTTTTAAAGAAGATCTGCGCGATAGCATCAACTTTTGGGGTGAAATAGGGGATTCTACTTTTTGCACTTCTCCCTCCAGCCAATAGGTCAACATTTCACCTTTACCCTTCATGGGCACATAACCGCGTTTGGTGGTTATGAAAGTGCCAAAATCATCCAAAGCTAATTTCGTTTTCTCACTTATGTGTATCTTTAAAGCTTCACCATTCGATTCCATTCTCGAGGCGGTATTAACCGTATCACCAAATAAACAATATCTAGGCATTTTCAAACCCACAACTCCCGCCACACAGGCTCCCGTATGCAGACCAATGCGCAATTTCAAACGATCATTGGGTCTGTGATGAATCTTAAAATTATGTACAGCCTCCAGCAAAGCCAAAGCTAGACGTGCTATTTCTCTAGCATGCTGATTGCCATTACGTATGGGTAAGCCCGATACCACCATATAGGCATCACCTATTGTCTCCACTTTGTAGACATCGAAATTCTCTACAATGGAATCGAAACAGGTATAGAGATCATTAAGGAATTGCACCACTTGCATGGGTGTACTTTCGGCGGAAATAGCCGTAAAACCGACTATATCTGAAAAATATATAGTGACTTGATCGAAAGTCTCAGCCACCACCGGTTGACCACTAATCAGCTGGGCAGCCACACTTTGTGGCAGCAATTGGTAAAGTAACTTCTCACATTTCTTCTTTTCTTCTATATAATCTTGGGTACGCTCCTCCACCAATTCTTCTAGATTATTGGCATACTGTTCCATACGTTTGAGTAGATTGTCAACTATATTGCCAGTTTCGTTGTCCCTGTACAAAAAAAAAAAGGAGAAATCATAAACAAACTGCTCATTCCTTTTCCGAGTATCTTACTTACTTATTTATATTTCTTATAATTGTTTTTAAAGCATTAAAATCTGGCCTTTCTGCTGGATCCTCTGACCAGCATTTCTGCATAACTGTATTTATTTCCTTATAATTATTTGGTATATCAACAAGTTGTGGTCTGAAAGGATATTGTACTGTATGTGGGTAACCTTTGACCAAATAAATTATTTCTGTAAAATAGAAAGGAAAATAATAAATATAAATTTCAATTGAATTTTTATAGAAATTATTATACAAATGATACTGTTGTCCGATTAAGGAATAACACAAAATCATGTTGTTTTTCCTGTTATTTTAGTTGTTATTGCCAATCATTAGTTATGATATATATGACCCAAAAATAAGCCCATTTAAATACGAAATTAATGTTCTAAAGGTAAATAATTGATAAATGTTGTCTTGTTAACGTTTTGAATTATGTTAATGATGACAATTATGTGTGTGTGCCGATACGTAATATTAGGTTGGTGTAAGTCCTTAAGGCGAATGTCCAACTAACATAACATTCCAGAATTCTGTACTTAACAAATGTCAAGCAGTTTAACTATGCTACACATTGGTTAGTAGACATCTACCTAACCATTCACAAATGCACTGCTGTTAGTAAGAGTGCACCACAGATTTCATTTCACGATCCTTCTTATATATGCGGGTGGTAATTATCCGCATATTTCCAGATTCACGGAGTTGGCACCGCTAATGGGACTAGAAAAGTAGAGACAATACATCCCAGACCTGTCTATAGTCTTAACTATAGACCAGTCTTTAGTCTTGACTTTAGACCAGTCTATAGTCTTGAATATAGACCAGTCTATAGTATTGACTATAGACCAGTCTATATTCTTGACTATAAACCAGTCTTGACTATAAACCAGTCTATAGTCTTAACTATAAACCAGTCTATAGTCTTGACTATAGACCAGTCTATAGTCTTAACTATAGAACAGTTTATAGTCTTGACAATAGACCTGTCTATAGTCTTGACTATAGACCAGTCTATTGTCTTGACTATAGACCAGTATATATTCTTGACTATAGGCCAGTCTATATTCTTGACTATTGACCAGTCTATAGTCTTGACTATAGACCAGTCTATATTCTTGACTATAGACCAGTCTATATTCTTGACTATAGACTAGTCTGTAGTCTTGACTATAGACCAGTCTATATTCTTGACTATAGACCTGTCTATAGTCTTGACTATAGATCAGTCTATAGTCTTGAATATATACCAGTCTATAGTCTTGACTATAGACCAGTCTATGGTCTTGACTATAGACCAGACTATGGTCTTGACTATAGACCAGTCTATAGTCTTGATTATAGACCAGACTATGGTCTTGACTATAGACCAGTCTATAGTCTTGACTATAGACCAGTCTATAGTATTGAATATATACCAGTCTATAGTCTTGACTATAGACCAGTCTATATTCTTGACTATAGACCAGTCTATATTCTTGACTATAGACTAGTCTGTAGTCTTGACTATAGACCAGTCTATATTCTTGACTATAGACCTGTCTATAGTCTTGACTATAGATCAGTCTATATTCTTGACTATAGACCTGTCTATAGTCTTGACTATAGATCAGTCTATAGTCTTGAATATATACCAGTCTATAGTCTTGACTATAGACCAGTCTATGGTCTTGACTATAGACCAGTCTATAGTCTTGATTATAGACCAGACTATGGTCTTGACTATAGACCAGTCTATAGTCTTGATTATAGACCAGACTATGGTCTTGACTATAGACCAGTCTATAGTCTTGATTATAGACCAGACTATGGTCTTGACTATAGACCAGTCTATAGTATTGAATATATACCAGTCTATAGTCTTGACTATAGACCAGTCTATAGTATTGAATATATACCAGTCTATAGTCTTGACTATAGACCAGTCTATAGTCTTGAATATAGACCAGTCTATAGTCTTGACTATAGACCAGTCTATAGTCTTGAATATAGACCAGTCTATAGTCTTAACTATAAAACAGTCTATAGTCTTGACTATAGACCAGTCTATAGTCTTAACTATAGACCTGTCTATAGTCTTGACTATAGATCAGTCTATAGTCTTGAATATATACCAGTCTATAGTCTTGACTATAGACCAGTCTATGCTTGACTATAGACCAGTCTATAGTCTTGATTATAGACCAGACTATGGTCTTGACTATAGACCAGTCTATAGTCTTGACTATAGACCAGTCTATAGTATTGAATATATACCAGTCTATAGTCTTGACTATAGACCAGTCTATAGTATTGAATATATACCAGTCTATAGTCTTGACTATAGACCAGTCTATAGTCTTGAATATAGACCAGTCTATAGTCTTGACTATAGACCAGTCTATAGTCTTGAATATAGATCAGTCTATAGTATTGAATATATACCAGTCTATAGTCTTGACTATAGACCAGTCTATAGTCTTGAATATAGACCAGTCTATAGTCTTGACTATAGACCAGTCTATAGTCTTGAATATAGACCAGTCTATAGTCTTGAATATAGACCAGTCTATAGTCTTGAATATAGACCAGTCTATAGTCTTGAATATAGACCAGTCTATAGTCTTGACTATAGACCAGTCCATAGTCTTGACTATAGACCAGTCAATGGTACTGAATATAGAACAGTCTATAGTATTGACTATAGACCAGTCTATGGTCTTGACTATAGGACCAGTCTTTAGTCTTGACTATTGACCAGTCTATAGTCTTGACTATAGACCAGTCTATAGTCTTGACTATAGACCAGTCTATAGTCTTGACTATAGACCAGTCTATAGTCTTGACTATAGACCAATCTATAGTATTGACTATAGACCAGTCAATGGTATTGAATATAGAATAATCTATAGTATTGACTTTAACCCAGTTTATGGTCTTGACTGTAGACCAGTCTATAGTCCTGACTATTGACCAGTCTATAGCCTTGACTATAGACCAGTCAATGGTACTGAATATAGAACAGTCTATAGTATTGACTATAGACCAGTCTATGGGCTTGACTATAGACCAGTCTATGGGCTTGACTATAGACCAGTCAATGGTACTGAATATAGAACAGTATATAGTATTGACTATAGACCAGTCTATGGGCTTGACTATAGACCAGTCCATGGTCTTGACTATAGACTAGTCTATGGGCTTGACTATAGACCAGTCTATGGTCTTGACTATAGACCAGTCTATGGTCTTGACTATAGACCAGTCTATGGTCTTGACTATAGACCAGTCTATAGTCTTGACTATAGACCAGTCTATAGTATTAACTATAGACCAGTCTATAGTCTTGACTATAAACCAATCTATAGTCTTGACTATAGACCTGTCTATAGTCTTGAATATAGACCAGCCTATAGTCTTAAATATAGACCAGCCTATAGTTTTGACTATTGACCAGTTTATAGTCTTGACTATAGACCAGTCTATAGTTTTGACTATAGACCAGTCCATAGTCTTTACTATAGACCAGTCTATAGTCTTGACTATAGATCAGTCTATAGTCTTGACTATAGATCAGTCTATAGTCTTGAATATAGGCCAGCCTATAGTCTTGACTATTGACCAGTCTATAGTGTTGGGTATAGACCAGTCCATAGTCTTAATTATAGACCAGTCCATAGTCTTTACTGTAGACCAGTCCATAGTCTTGAGCTGTCTCTAAAAGAACTTTCCAACAAAAATCGTTTTCCTCCTTAAATTTGGTCTATCCTAACAGTAATCTATTCACAGTTCCTCAAACTTTTGTTTTAACGTCTCATTTGGCTTAATGTTCGATAATTTGATAATAATTTGAAACGATATAGTACTTATGCATTATTCAATGAGAATACAATTGTCCCTGCTGGGTTTATAGCAGACAATTCAAATGTTTTAATGATACAATGAAATTGTCAACATTAAAATTGATTTAGCAGAATTTCAATTTGTGAACTAATTACCGATTGTTATGCTAGTTTAGGCATGTGGGTAGGAGTAGTAGAGTAATATTTGGTAGTTGCAATGACGAAGATTGGGGAATTAAGGGTAAGTGGTTGAAGTTAAAATATATAAAATAAATCCCAGGAAATTTTTAAATCTCATAATTGTAATCATTAATGTTTAGTCTACAAATACCATCTCTAAGGTTTTTTTAATATATCAAAGTAAAATCAAACCAAAATTCTGGTCGTTATTATTTATTTTCTGTTTGAACGTAATGTTTTATTAAAATCTAAGAATTTCTAAAACTTATAACTTAATTACATTTATTGATTTTGCTAAGACTACACAAAATATGTCAAAGAAATCCTCTTATATCTGGAGCCGCAATATTTTACAAACCAATTATAACAATAAATCAACAACCAACAAGGCAATTTGTTATCAAACATTCTCAATAGAAAAGCAATCTAAACAAAATCAAGAAATTAATTGTCACAGAAAATTGTTTAAAACCGCGAATATCAACAAAAGATATGCCACGTCAAAGGATAAATTTAGAACCCACAATTGTCTGCCAAATAATAGAGCACGCGGCACAACAAGGCGAAATATAACAAGAACTTTACATTTTAATACGAATGTATTAGGGCTGAAGGGTGTAGCAGTTACCCCAAAATCCACTGAATGCAAGAGCAGTAGATATAGTAAAAACAATTTCAATGGAAAACTGCATCATTGCAATCATTTTTGCAATCAAAATCATAATCTTCATATGAATTGTAAATGTTCAACTAAATTGCTTAATTTGCCGCAGCCACAACAACATCTTCGTATCATTCAACAAGATTTTGAAAAAAGTAACAAGCATAAATCCTTCAATAAAACCCATAAAATCCATACTCCAAACGCACTTTGCCACAACCATCAACATGAGTGTCTGCCATATGTTATACCTTTAAAAATGGATAAAAATCTTCATTGTCATCATTCCCATCTTCATGGTGGTGCTATCATTTCTAACAAGTTACAATTACATGATGTAAAATCAAGTGTTTCACGCTCAACACAACTAAGTAGATATCATCATCATCATCGTCATCATGATTCCCAATTGACATGCTTACCACAAGTGTCACAACATCAAGAGCATTTATTAGGCATGTTCGAAGTATTACCTCCGCTCTTTCTTTTAAAAACTACACCAGGAAAGGTAACCGAGAATCATGAAAAATATCTTAGTCACTTAGAAAGTATACAATACAAATCATCTCATAGTTGTGCTGATGTGCTCGTGGGTGGAAATCCAAAAATGCTACAACCTTTACCCCTGAGACACGAGAAGCATTTCAAGTTGGATTATGACAAAATTTTAAAATGTTGTAAGTGTAATGATTTGTTTTGCAAGAAAAATAAGAAGGAAAAAGTTTTGTCATAACCTGAGTTAGCAACTAGAGTATAATACTGTTAAGATATCCGATTTATGAAGGGTTAAGTATGATATGATTGACAAGTTTGATTTCTGTTTGCCTTAAATTCTATTTTAGGAGACTAACTTCTCGTGACATTTACTGGTTTAAATATTTATTAATATAAGAAAAAAAAGGAAATATTTCTAAGCAATTACTTTTTGCATTTTCTTAAGACGTTTGTATTCCCTTAGAGAATATATCTTTATGAAAGTATTTCAAGACTCCACAGTGGGGCAGAATGGAAATTTTTTGGAAATAAATCTTGCATTTCTAAACGGCTGATCCGATCGGATGAGTGAGCGTAGCCAAGGAGTATTCGAGTTTAAGTTTTGAAGATGAACCCTGCAGATGCCCCTGCAGATGAAATTAAAGGACACAGGTTTAAATGAACTTATTTTTGAATGTAATTGAGATATTGGCTTGAAATTTTTTGTAAAGGGTCGAGAATTTCCATATCTAACTAAAAAATGATATTAAGGGATAAATATGGACTAAATTGTTGTAGCTATCTGCGACCCTATTAAAATTTTGATATAAATCATAGTTTAAGAAATTAAACAAATATGTAATATATGACAAAATCTTTATTTATGAACAAAACTCAATGAAATTTTCAACGCTTGTTAAATTTGTCATTTCAAATAAGAAAATGCAAAAAAAAAAAAATTGAAAAGGTCAAAGGGCATCCCGCAATTCCCAAAAATAGGAATGAAAATCCCAAAAATGGGATTTTTTACTTTTTTGCACATAGGGTCCACATTTCTTTCAGGGCTGGGAAAATACTTTTGGAGTAAATAGAAAACATATTGAGGTTTCCAAAACTGCTTTCAGTTTTCTGATTTTAGAACATGTCGCCCAAAGTTGAAGTTTTGATAAAAAATAGGTCATATTCGGAAGGACGCAGTGGCAACATTTTCAAAAAATAGGACAAGTTTTTTACGCCAAAGCGTTCTGCGTAAAGATACCTTTTAGAAAACTATAAAATTGTTATATGTTCTTAAAGAAAATTCTATTTTATTAATAAAAGAGTTAAGACACATTTTTGGCAAAAAAACGGAAAAATCTAAAATTTTTTGAATTTTTAAATTAAAAAACGTATATTTTTGGATCTGTAAATGATATTGATCTGAAATTTTTTGTATATTATTGGAAATTTTGTTGTCTAACTAAAAAACGCCCGGTATTCAAAAAAAGGCGGATCAAGGTATGGTAAATTTTGTATCACTAAATTTTTAAATGCCTATAACTCGGATATTATAAGAGATAAGTAGTATGTCCAAGCATGTTTTTTCAAGATCTCGTCGAGCGCTTTCAGAAAATATAAAAATCTTTGTATTTGGCACGAGTTTAAAAATTTTACATGTCGTAGGTACCCTACTTTGAGCCGCCACAGCGCCGTCCCTGGGGCATCTGCAGGGTTTATCTTCAAAACTCGAATACTCCTTGGCTACGCTCACGCCAAATTTTATTCCGATCGGATCAGCCGTTTAGAAATGCCAGATTTATTTCCAAAAAATTTCCATTCTGCCCCACTGTGGACTCTGAGAGAAGTTTTCAATTAGAATTTATTAACAGCTTTATCGTTGATATTTTGTTGGTACTTCGTATGAGCTACCAATCAGTCTTATTAATTTTGGGCTCTATAGGCCCCAAATTGGGTCATTAGAATGTCATTTTAATTTTGCTTTTCATAAAATGGTAGACTTCTTTGTACAAGTGTAAATGGGATCATGAGCACCATGTTAACTATTGCCGTGGAAATCTTGCTGGATATTACCCTTTTCGAAACGCAAAAGAAACGAGATTAACAGTGGAGAGGATCTTAACCTTAGGCAATTAGATCAAACAAACATTTGTGTCTAATTGCTTATAAGAGAAAGAATGAGGTAAATTCGGCGGGACGTTAATCGCAGTTACATGTTCACAGTCAATCTGGTATCTTCTATTCTGGACTTTATACAAAAGAACCAGAATATTACAGATCACAACACTAGATTCCAAGCCACAGGTCAATTACGACGATAACGATCGTCAAAATTAAGTTTTTGATCGTGTATTAAGATGTAAGAAAAGAGACGAGGCTTCTGGAATCTGTTATCTTAGATTCTGGACTTTATACAAAAAACCCAGAATATTACAGATCACAACACTAGCTTCCAAGCCACAGGTCAATTGCGACGATCGTGTATTAAGATGTAAGAAAAGAGACGAGGCTTACGATGGATAGGCTCATATTTTTAGACAAATTGATCAAACAAACATTTGTTTCTAATCGCTTATTAGAGAAAGAATGTGGCAGAATTAGAGGGATTTTGATCGCAGATACACGATCACTACTAAATGGAACATTGGAGCAAGTATTCATTGGAATCTGTTATCTTGGATTCCGATCAACAATGAATATCAAATATAAACTGGATTGAATATGACGCTGAGAGATGTGAACATATAATCTGATAGCCACAGGTCAATTATGACGATAACGATCGTCAAAATAATGTCTAAGATCGTGTATTAACTGGATATTCCCCCCATCGAAGTGTTAGATAAGAGACAAGACTTTCAGTGGGTAGGCTCTTATTTTTTGGGAAACGCTGAACGCTTAATAAAGAAAGAATGTGACACAATTTGTGGGACTTTGATCGTAGGTAAAATATCACGATCAAAAGGAGCTTTGGAACAAGAATTCAAATTAAATCCAAGACCATATTGCACTGTAAGAGATTCATAACCGAATTCTCTTCCAGTCAAAAGCTTTGTATCATCTGGACACCATGCAAAACGGTCATAGTCGATATCGAGCTCAGGAAATCATTACTTGACAAATGCTTCAAATTAACTTCATGACAACAAGAACGAAAACTGACGCAATCTAAAAGATCACGGTCAAGAGGAACAAATCAAATCTAAGACCATATTGGACTATAAGAGATTCATAACCGAATTCTCTTCCAGTGGAAAGCTCCGTTTCATATGGACACCATGCAACTTGTGAATAGTCGATATCGAGATTACTTGACAACTATATCAAATTAACTTCGTGACAACAATAGAGAAAACTGACGCAAACTAATAGAATTCTCTGCCAGATGAGTAAGTTCAAGTATGACGACACAGACGTTACACTTTGTTACGAGAGAAATCGGACGAATATAACACGAGGTAGACAATCTGATGGATGAAAAACCATTCGAGGAAATCACAACACTTGCCTAAAGGCACAATTCAGAGCAATAACGTAAATTGGATTAGATTAAATATGGCGTCCAAAGGGCTTAATATGTATATAATCACCCATAGCCAGAAGGCAATTAGGGCGATATCATCGTATCGTATTGGATTGTAAAAAAGTTCTAATCGAATACTCTTCCAGTGGTAAAGTTTACATCATATGGATACCAGGCCACTTCGAGAGAATATAATAGCTTTAAAGGGAAGGGAGCTCGAGGGCAGAATTAAAAAAATAGATGAGAAACCCATAAAGCTTCTTGGAATAATGAAACGGTGGGTAGAACCACAATGATCCTATGGGACGACCCTAACGAGACCAAGACTGAGGTGGTAGTATTCTGACTGAACACACAGGATTATGAGCAGAGAAGACATTGAAACTCTGGAGCACTTACATTGTCATTCTCAGGCTTTCACCGAAATTAGATCTAAATATCTTGGGAGTGATATTATTTCCTGATTCGAAAATTCTTAGGAACATTTTTACCAACAGACATTTTCCAAAAGGAGCTCACAACAGGCCCGATAGTGGCCCTTGATGTAGATATATTCTTCTAACCTAACCCTACTCTAACTCATATCACTTGATCCTACAGACTCTCTTTCTTGTTTTGCAATTGGAAGAGAAGTTATTCCTACTATTGATGAAATGGTATCAAATCCTATCTCCCTTAACAGTTTAAAAAATTCTTAAAGATATTTTTATTAAAAGCTAAACCTTTAACCATTCAAAATCATTAAAACTCATGTTTCAATTTCTTCATTTTGTTTGTTATTTGCTGCTTTCTTTTCTAATTTTAAAATCTTTTCAATTGTATTTTAAATCTCTTGTCACAAAGTGTAGCAATTTGCATAAACCTTTCCTAGTTTTATTCAAATTGTAACGTATTTTGTTTGCTTTGGTTTTATGGTATAATGGCAAAATGAATTTCCGTTTTCCTGTTATTATACTTGTTTTATTTTCGGTTATCTATACAAAATACTTAAAAGAAGAACATTTTCATTAAAGTTAATTCCTATAAAATGGACACCTGTGGTAAATCTAAAGCTGTATTCAATGTATTTGAATAGATTTAAGTTGTAAACAATAAAAAAACAGTTGAAAAGGCTAAAAGTATTTAAAAACCCATATAGAGTATTTAAAAGCCATATAGGAGTCATTTGCTTTGTAGTGTGAAAATTAAAAGGAAAATTATTTCAACAATAAATGGATAGTAATGATTATTTATAGTCTTGGAAGTTAATTTCAAGGGATATTAATCCGATCACCGGCATTGTGTTCCTCTACGAACTTTCTCTCAAAACGTACGTAAATTCTCACTTATATAGAAAGCAAACAAAACCTGTCGAGAGTCATGTTTTCTCTATGTCGATACCTGATACATAGTATTCAAATGACTTCCAACGATTATTAAACATTTAGAGTCGTATTCATAAACTTTTAACAAAGGTTTATAAATCTAGTCTAGTTCTATAGTCTAGTCTATAGTCTAGTCTATAGTCTAGTCTATAGTCTAGTCTATAGGCTTGTCTATAGTCTAGTAGTCTAGTCCTAGTCTATAGTCTAGTCTATAGTTAGTCTATATCTAGTCTATAGTCTAGTCATCTCTAGTCTAGTCTATAGTCTAGTCTATAGTCTAGTCTATAGTCTAGTCTATAGTCTAGTCTATAGTCTAGTCTATAGTCTAGTCTATAGTCTAGTCTATAGTCTAGTCTATAGTCTAGTCTATAGTCTAGTCTATAGTCTAGTCTATAGTCTAGTCTATAGTCTAGTCTATAGTCTAGTCTATAGTCTAGTCTATAGTCTAGTCTATAGTCTAGTCTATAGTCTAGTCTATAGTCTAGTCTATAGTCTAGTCTATAGTCTAGTCTATAGTCTAGTCTATAGTCTAGTCTATAGTCTAGTCTATAGTCTAGTCTATAGTCTAGTCTATAGTCTAGTCTAGTCCAGTCTATAGTCTAGTCTATAGTCTAGTCTATAGTCTAGTCTATAGTCTAGTCTATAGTAGTCTATAGTCCAGTCTATAGTCTAGTCTATAGTCTAGTCTATAGTCTAGTCTATAGTCTAGTCTATAGTCTAGTCTATAGTCTAGTCTATAGTCTAGTCTATAGTCTAGTCTATAGTCTAGTCTATAGTCTAGTCTATAGTCTAGTCTATAGTCTAGTCTATAGTCTAGTCTATAGTCTAGTCTATAGTCTAGTCTATAGTCTAGTCTATAGTCTAGTCTATAGTCTAGTCTATAGTCTAGTCTATAGTCTAGTCTATAGTCTAGTCTATAGTCTAGTCTATAGTCTAGTCTATAGTCTAGTCTATAGTCTAGTCTATAGTCTAGTCTATAGTCTAGTCTATAGTCTAGTCTATAGTCTAGTCTATAGTCTAGTCTATAGTCTAGTCTATAGTCTAGTCTATAGTCTAGTCTATAGTCTAGTCTATAGTCTAGTCTATAGTCTAGTCTATAGTCTAGTCTATAGTCTAGTCTATAGTCTAGTCTATAGTCTAGTCTATAGTCTAGTCTATAGTCTAGTCTATAGTCTAGTCTATAGTCTAGTCTATAGTCTAGTCTATAGTCTAGTCTATAGTCTAGTCTATAGTCTAGTCTATAGTCTAGTCTATAGTCTTAGTCTAGTCTATAGTCTAGTCTATAGTCTAGTCTATAGTCTAGTCTATAGTCTAGTCTATAGTCTAGTCTATAGTCTAGTCTATAGTCTAGTCTATAGTCTAGTCTATAGTCTCGTCTATAGTCTAGTCTATAGTCTGTCTATAGTCTAGTCTATAGTCTAGTCTATAGTTCTAGTCTATAGTCTAGTCTATAGTCTAGTCTATAGTCTAGTATATAGTCTAGTCTATAGTCTAGTCTATAGTCTAGTCTATAGTCTAGTCTATAGTCTAGTCTATAGTCTAGTTATAGTCTAGTCTATAGTCTAGTCTATAGTCTAGTCTATAGTCTAGTCTATAGTCTAGTCTATAGTCTAGTCATAGTTAGTCTATAGTCTAAGTCTATAGTCTAGTCTATAGTCTAGTCTATAGTCTAGTCTATCGTGCTAGGTCTTATAGTCTAGTCTATAGTCTAGTCTATAGTCTAGTCTATAGTCTAGTCTATAGTCTAGGTCTATAGTTCTAGTCTATAGTCTAGGTCTATAGTCTAGTCTATAGTCTAGTCTATAGTCTAGTCTATAGTCTAGTCATAGTCTAGTCTATAGTCTATAGTCTAGTCTATAGTCTAGTCTATAGTCTAGTCTATAGTCTAGTCTATAGTCTAGTCTATAGTCTAGTCTATAGTCTAGTCTATAGTCTAGTCTATAGTCTAGTCTATAGTCTAGTCTATAGTCTAGTCTATAGTCTAGTCTATAGTCTAGTCTATAGTCTAGTCTATAGTCTAGTCTATAGTCTAGTCTATAGTCTAGTCTATAGTCTAGTCTATAGTCTAGTCTATAGTCTAGTCTATAGTCTAGTCTATAGTCTAGTCTATAGTCTAGTCTATAGTCTAGTCTATAGTCTAGTCTATAGTCTAGTCTATAGTCTAGTCTATAGTCTAGTCTATAGTCTAGTCTAGTCTAGTCTATAGTCTAGTCTAGTCTAGTCTAGTCTAGTCTATAGTCTAGTCTAGTCTAGTCTATAGTCTAGTCTATAGTCTAGTCTATAGTCTAGTCTATAGTCTAGTCTATAGTCTAGTCTATAGTCTAGTCTATAGTCTAGTCTATAGTCTAGTCTATAGTCTAGTCTATAGTCTAGTCTACAGTCTAGTCTACAGTCTAGTCTATGGTCTAGTTTCCTTTCCCCTATAACAATCTTAAATTAAATGCACTTATCCCTTCAAACTTTTTCCTTCTTATCCCTAAATCAAAACTATTTCCAATTATCCCTTTTTTGATTTAATTCAATTGCAGTACAAACGAAAACTAAACCCTCTGACTGTGATGTAATTTTCGGTAATGCTTGTCTGCTATTACGTAAACGTTACGGTTGGGAGACATCACGTCTTGAATGGTTGTTACAACTAGAAGAACAGCATCAAAATCATCATCAAACTCATAGAATGGCCAACCAATAATAAATGCTAAGAAACTAGTTAATATGACCATCATCATCATCAACAGCGCCAGTATTATCTTGTCATTGAATGAACAGCAGGTAAAAGGAAATAACTCATTTAAATAACAGTTTGATATAAAGTCAAAACCATACAAACCCAATCACCAGCCTCCCAGAAAGATACCCCCACTTAAAAGGAAGCAATTAATATGTATGTAACTACTTGAAACTAAAAAAAAACTATAAGTGTCATAATAATTAAGTTTTTCGTATAATTGAACTGACAAAGACCACTTTTGCAAAGAGGTAGAAGACGTGGTTATAATGACAATGCTGATGTTGCTCTTCCTTCCTAGTTATAATGACAATGCTGATGTTGCTCTTCCTTCCTGGCGATGACACGCGATGGTTGTGTTGTCTTGACATTGTTGAATGTAAAAAACTTTCCCTGATATTGAAGTGAAATTTCTTATTAAATGTTCATTTAGTTGTTTTAATAACTAACTTGTTCCGTTTTTTCCCCTCCCCATACTAAGTTTTGCTTTATTTTCTTTTCAAAAGGAAATTATTAGTATTACGAATAATTTGATTTTTAATTAGGTCCTTTTTTATATTAAATAGCAAAAAAAACTAATTTAAATTTATGTTAATTGTCTAGCCATGCAGCATACGATAAAAAAGTCTTAAGAAATTACTTATTATCACTGAAGAAATGTTTAAAAGTTAATTTGTAAAATTTAAATGATTGTTGCTTTTGATTGTAATGCCTTGCAAAAAGGAAATGATGGAAATTATTTAGTTAGGGACAGTGAGGAAATCAAAGAATTTTAATTAGATTGTCTGTTTATTGAAGCAATAAGAGGGAGGCGAAGACATTTTTTTTAACAAATTTGAATTTCCAACATTTTGAGTATGAAAAAAATCCCTGTAATGATAGTATAAAACAATTTTCATCTTGTCAGATAATTTCACTCTATATTAATGTCAAGCATTACCTAACCACTTCTAAGTAATGTATTTCTAATATATATGTACTTCTAAGATATATAGAAGATCTTTATTTTCTCTTCCATGTTGGAGTAAAACAATGTTGTTCTTGCCAGATAATTTCACTCTATGTAAGTAGAAATTGCAAATGCCAAATATTACCCAACAACTTCTAAGTAATGTATTTCTACTATATACTTCTAAAATATATAGAAGACATTACAAAGTGAGTTAATTGGTAAAATATGCTGTTACCAAAGAATATACCAAAATTTATTTAACATTATTGTCCACTTAACATAACAATATCCCTTGATTACTCTTTACTAAAGCCTAAACTTAAACTAAGTTCTTATAAAAATTTAATTAATTTGTCCAGTTCATTTATTACGATTTAGAATTGACTTCTATTTTCAATAATATTGTTGAAATAAAATCCCCAACTATTTATCTATCACATTTCTTTTATTGCTAACTAGCTCTCCGCTTGTCAACGTCTAATGAACCTTTACCATTCGTTTAAAATTTTATCGCTCTGTAAAAGTAACAAGAGTATATAGCAATTCACAAACAATAAAAAAAATAGACTGGACACAGAAGGTACCAGGTACTAGTATGTATTTTGATCTCATTGACAATTGTCATCAACTTTAAATTGCTGGTGTTGTATTCGATTGTCTGCCAAAGTCAAATGGAAGAGAAGAAAAAAATAGAATTGTTGAAAGCTAAAGTTGTAAAGAATTTACTGGGAGGAGCATAAAATAAAGGTAATAATAGCGTCAATTAGGTGAAAAATACTAGGAAAAACAAGACAAGTTGTTATTTTTTTATTTATGGAGAATTATGCGGAATGTTGAGTCGTCTTAATGTAATCTAATGTAATCCGAAGATTTATGGATTTCTCGAAGATTTATCGTCTGATAAATAGTCTGGCATATGGTTTAATCTATATTATTATCGATATATGTATATAGCCTCATCTAAAATGTGTTTTATAGCCTGGTCTATAGTTTCGTTTTTCAATAATTTAATTTATAACCTAATATATAGTATGGTCTCTGATATAGTTTGTATTCTAGTTTAAGTCTAGTCGGTTCTACAGTCTATAATCTGGTCTATTTCTAGTCTAGTTTATCTAGTCTATTGTCTGCTCTATAGTTTGGTATATAGTCTGGTCTATATAGTGTTTTATAGTCTGGTCTATAGTCTGTTCTATAGTCTAGTCTATAGTTTGGACTATAGTCAGGTATGTAATCTGGTTTATAGTCTGGTCTTTGGTCTATAGTCTGGTCTACATTCTGTTCTATAGTCTAGTCTAAAGTCTGGTCTATAGTCTGTTCTATAGTCTGTTTTATAGTCTGGTCTATAGTCTGGTCTATAGTATGGTCTATAGTATGGTCTATAGTTTGTTTTATAGTCTGGTCTATAGTCTGCTCTACATTCTGTTCTATAGTCTAGTCTAAAGTTTGGTCTAGAGTTTGGTATGGTCTATAGTCTGGTCTATAGTATGGTCTATAGTCTGGTCTATAGTGTGGTCTATAGTCTGTTTTATAGTCTGTTCTATGTTTAGTCTATAGTCTGGTCTAGAGTCTGGTCTGTAGCCTGGTCTATAGTCTGGTCTAGAGTCTGTCCTAGAGTCTGGTCTATAATATAGTATATAGTCTGGTCTAGAGTCTGGTCTATAGTCTGGTCTATAGTCCGGTCTACAGTCTGGTCTAGAGTATGGTCCAGAGTATGGTCTAGAGTCTGGTCTATAGTCTAGTCTACAGTCTGGTCTGTAGTCTAGTCTATAGTCTGGTCTATAGTCTGGTCTTTAGTCTGGTCTTTAGTCTGGTCTATAGTCTGTTCTACAGTATGGTCTAGAGTCTGGTCTATAGTTTAGTCTATAGTCTGGTCTAGAGCCTGGTCTATAGTCTGGTCTATAGTCTGGTCTATAGTCTGGTCTACAGTCTTGTCTATAGTCTGGTATATAGCCTGGTTAATTGTCTGGTTTATAGTTTGGCCTATAGTCTGGACTACAGTCTGGTCTATAGTCTGGTCTAGAGTCTGGTAAATAGCCTGGTCAATTGTCTGGTTTATACTATGGCCTATAGTCTGGTCTAGAGTCTGGTCTAGAGTCTGGTCTAGAGTCTGGTCTAGAGTCAGGTCTAGAGTTTGGTCTAGATTCTGGTCTAGAGTCTGGTCTAGAGTCTGGTCTATAGTCTAGCCTTGTCTTGTCTTTAGTCTGGTCAATTGTCTGGTTTATAGTATGACCTATAGTTTGGACTACAGTCTGGTCTAGAGTATGGTCTATAGTCTAGTCTATAGTCTGGTCTAGAGTCTGGTCTATAGTCTGGTCTATAGTCTGGTCTACAGTATTGTCTATAGTCTGGTATATAGCCTGGTTAATTGTCTGGTTTATAGTTTGGCCTATAGTCTGGACTACAGTCTGGTCTATAGTCTGGTCTAGAGTCTGGTCTAGAGTCTGGTAAATAGCCTGGTCAATTGTCTGGTTTATACTATGGCCTATAGTCTGGACTACAGTCTGGTCTAGAGTCTGGTCTAGAGTCTGGTCTAGAGTCTGGTCTAGAGTCTGGTCTAGAGTCTGGTCTAGAGTCTGGTCTAGAGTCTGGTCTAGAGTCTGGTCTAGAGTCTGGTCTATAGTCTAGCCTATAGCCTTGTCTTTAGTCTGGTCTAGTCTGGTCTGGTCAATTGTCTGGTTTATAGTATGACCTATAGTTTGGTCTAGAGTATGGTCTAGAGTATGGTCTATAGTCTAGTCTATAGTCTGGTCTAGAGTCTGGTCTATTCTGGTATAAAGCCTGGTCAATTGTCTGGTTTATAGTATGGCCTATAGACTTGACTACAGTCTGGTCTAGGGTCTGGTCTATAGTCTAGTCTATAGTCTGGTCTAGAGTCTGGTCCAGAGTTTGGTCTATAGTCTGGTCTTTAGTCTGGTCTATAGTCTATGATCTCGTCTTTAGTATATGTTTACATTTCATTTTTTGTGTCGCCAAAGCTTTAACAAATTTAAATTACTTCCACTTTATTTTCACATTACATAAAAAAAACAAAAAGCAACACTTCCCTCTAGAACGGAAATTTCAAAATGAAAATAGCAAAAATAACAAGTGAATCCAACATAATATTTTAATACAAAGAAATTTTTATGAAGATTAAAAATTAATGTCTTGTACAACCAACACAACCTCAAGCTGGAAACAACGTTAACAACAAAGATATTGCAAGTATGTATTTCTCTTTTTAAGTGGTTGTTATATTTTTTTAAACCTCGTATTAAAATTATAATTATAGTCGATGTGAAAAAATGTTCTGGAAAATTGTTTCGTACCGAGCATTTTAAATAAATAAATAAAATACGTGTGAAATCCTATTTAAATACATTACAATGCAATCAAACCTTTTGCTAAAACCATCAATTAAATTTCTAGTTTTTTTTAATTTTCCTTTTTCACTTACCTTGAGGCGGTTTCTCCTCCTCTAATTTACCCAAGTAAAAAGGTCCTTGTCTCGTTGTTATTTCATGTACAATTATTCCAAATGAATAGACATCACCTTTTTGTGTACCTTCGGGTGGACGATTACCTTCCATTCTTAGGAGTTCAGGGGCTGTCCATAATAGTTCTGTAAATAAATAAATTATAAATGAAAGTAAATAAAGATATTAAAGGTATTTATGCAGGAGAGTATCTGGAGAATTTCTATTTGTTAAATTAATTTGAAAAAGGAAATGTGTTTACTTTGGTATTTAAGACTTTAGAAAGGAATAATAAAAAGGAAACTGATGGAAGATTGTTTGGTATGGTCTGGTCTATGGTCCGGTCTATAAACTGGTCTAAGTTCTTTTCTATAGTCTTGTCTCTGGTCTGGTCTAAAGTCTGGTGTAAAGACCGGTCCGTGGTTTGGTCTATTATATGGTCTATAGTCTGGTTTATAATCCAGTCTGTGGTTTGGTCTACTATAATCTTGTCTATAGTCTGGTCTATGGTCTGGTCCAAACTCTGGTCTATAGTCTAGTCTGTGGTTTGGTCTACTATATGGTCTATAGTCGGATTTATAGTCTGGTCTATATTCCGGTCTCCTATAGTCTGGTTTATAATTCAGTTTGTGGTTTGGTCTACAATATGGTCTATAATCTAGCCTATAGTCTGGGTCTATATAGTTTTGTCTATAGTCTGGTTTGTGGTCTAGTCTATGGTCTGATCTATAGTCTGGATTATTGTTTGGTCTGGACTACGGTTTGGTAATGATCTGGTCTGCGGTCTTGCCTGTGGTCCAATTTATGATCTCATCTATAGTCTGGTCTATAGCCATGTTCTATGGTTTGGACTGTGTAATGTGGGTTTTTTTTCTATAATTTAAACTGAAAAAAAAAACAATAAACAAATTATACTTACTACTCCAATATGCATAACTATTACAATTCTCGATATCACTGCCCATATCCTCGTTCGTCTTCCGCAACGTATGCAAACCAAAATCACAGATTTTCAAAACAAATCTCGAGTCCACCACACAATTCGATGATTTCAAATTGCCATGCGATTTAATATCGGAATTATGTAAAAAATGCATTCCCCTAACAATATCATGCATTAACGATAACTTAAACATCCAGTCCAGCTGGAATTGATCATTCTCTAAAATATCCTGCAGCGAACCTTTCGGACAATATTCGGTTAGTATAAAACTTTTTGCCGGATCCAAGCAGGCACCATAAAATTTCACCAAATGTTCGTGCTGTAAGTCTTTCATACGTTTCAGTTCCAACATAAGGGAACGTGTTAGATTTATATTACGTTCATCGATTATTTTAACAGCTGCTTTGCAGCCACGAAATAGTCCGACGGGTATAAAAATTTGTCGATCACCACTTAGCGAACCCATGTCATCGGACATTAGGGTCATTTGTGAGCTGTGTTTGACCAGGGAATGTAAAGAACCACGAAAACATCGGCCAGCCGAATTGTGAAAAATAACATCATCAATGGAAACACGCCAAGCCATAGAATTGATTTCGGCTTCGGATTTATAATGACGATAGCCGAAAAAGAAACAAACGCTCATAATGACGACCACAGCGCCGAGGACTATGGAGAGTATGGCATAGCCGGGAAGTGCTGAAAATTAGAGAAGGAAATTCGGAAAATTAAAAATTGGCTGGTCCATAATTTGATCTAAAGAGTGGTGTATAGTCTCCATAGTCCAATCCAAAGTTTGGCCATTAGCTTGTTCCATAGTCTGATCTATAGTCTGGTCTTTAGTCTGATCCTATAATCTGTTATACAGTCTGGTCTTAATTTTGGTTTAAAATCTAGTCTATAGTCTGGTTTAGTTTTATCTAAAGTCTGATCTAATGTTTAATAAAAAGTCTGGCTATTAGTAGAATCTGTAGACTGGTCAATAGTCTGCTGCATAGACCAGGCAGTAGTCTATAGGCTGATCTATTGTCTGATCCATAATATGTTCTATAGTGTGGTCTAAAATCTGGACCATAGTCTGTTCTATTGTCTGGTCCATAATCTGATCAACAGTAAGCCTATAGTCTATCCCAAATTCTAGTCCATAGTCTGGTTTATAGTCTATTCTGTAGTCTAACCCATAGCCTGGTTTAAATCTGGTCCAGAGTATTTTCTATAATATGATTTATCTGATACCTAAAGTGGTATATTGCATTGTGTGGTCTATAATCTGGTCAATAGTTTTTCTATATTGTGGTATATAGTCTGGTCCATAGTGTGATCCGCAATCATGTCTATATACTGTTTTATAGTCTTGCCTGTACTATGTATATAATACGCTAATGTCTTAAGTTTGGTATATATCCTAGTCGGGTCTATAGTCATATCTATAGTCTGGTCCACATTCCGTTTTACAATGTGATTTTTAGTCTGGTGTGATATATATATTTCGGTCTGGACTTATACATAAGTGTAAAATTTTCATACTTACAATTATCCGGACACAATGAGCCATCGTAACCACACTCCGGCCTGTCCAACGGTGGGTCAAGTCTATTACCAGCCCAATGTATTACCTTCCCCGGTACATATTCCAATTTATTATGTTGAAAATGGGCCACTATCTCAAATCTGCCCGTCGTCGGATTCATATCCAACAAAGAATATGCTGATATTCTATCACCATTAGCATCTATGGTTACATTGCCGGTAATACCCATAAAACTACGATTCCACATGCGTCTTACCATATCGGTGCCATTAATGGGTCGTGTCAATACCGTGGGATCTTCTCTTATGCTGTCGTTTAAAGCATTCGCATACAGAAGAACACCATCGAAGAATGAGGTGACAAATGCCGATATCGGTTCATCATCTTGAAAGGTATAATTATATTTGGCGGCAGCAATGGCTTTAATCTGGCAACGTTAACAGGATGGAGGGAAGTGCGTTGAAAAGGAAGATAAATAAGAAAAATATTTATAACATTATGAACATTAAAATTTAATGTAAATTCTTTTTTGGCACATTAAAATGATGATTCAATTTTAAGATATTTGTAAAATGTTTACATGGTTACAAGCGCTTGCATATAACGTTCTATGCAGAGCAGTAAAATGGTGTATTCTTTAAGAAAAGATTGCTCATAGCGATGTATTAAACAAATATTACTACATATCCAAAAAGTTACTTATTTTAGCTAGAAACATTGATTTCTAACCTCTGGATACTAGATGCTATCTATGTATGTGTACAAAATTTTTAAGGAATTACTACCCCTGAATGTATGTACGGTACTTTAATATAGCAAAAATTTAAAGTATTTTACGAAATAAGATAACATTGCTAAAAGAAATAAAAGCATACAAAATGTGTATGTATGTATGTATTTATGTCCTGCTCATGTGTCTAAGTGAAATATTATCTTAACACATATGTAATACAGGTTAAGGATTTAAAAAAAAAAAAAAACAGAACATAAAGTACAGCAGAAGGTCTGTTAGTCTTTTATATCTTTCTCTACGTTGTCATAGTATTTAAGAAAATGTTTTTAAGGGAAGAGTATAATATTTTAGCTAAATTTTAACGTATTTCGAAGTATTAAGCGCTTTTAAGAACCATTACATGTTGATGTTATTTTCAAGTTAATGGAATGGCTTTTTTTTTATTTGTCTTAACAGTTTCAAATGTGTGTAGTCTATAGTCTAGTCTATAGTCTAGTCTATAGTCTAGTCTATTAGTCTAGTCTAGTCTATAGTCTAGTCTATAGTCTAGTCTATAGTCTAGTCTAGTCTAGTCTAGTCTAGTCTATAGTCTAGTCTATAGTCTAGTCTATAGTCTAGTCTATAGTCTAGTCTATAGTCTAGTCTATAGTCTAGTCTATAGTCTAGTCTATAGTCTAGTCTATAGTCTAGTCTATAGCCTAGTCAAGTCTAGTCTAGTGTAGTCTATAGTGTAGTCTATAGTCTAGTCTATAGTCTAGTCTATAGTCTAGTCTATAGTCTAGTCTATAGTCTAGTTTATAGTCTAGTCTATAGTCTAGTCTATAGTCTAGTCTATAGTCTAGTCTATAGTCTAGTCTATAGTCTAGTCTATAGTCTAGTCTATAGTCTAGTCTATAGTCTATAGTCTAGTCTATAGTCTAGTCTATAGTCTATAGTCTAGTCTATAGTCTAGTCTATAGTCTATAGTCTAGTCTATAGTCTTTTTTTTTTTTTCGATAGGTAGGTGAAAATCTTGCATTAGATACCCAGGTGTTGGTTGGGTTATGTCGGATTTCTACCGACTAAAAAACACCTCCTTTCTCTTCCATGAGCCCTGCGGGACTGTCTATTACGATATTACTTCGCAGGACCGGATAGACTTAATTAGTCTCTGCTTCTAACTGCAACAATAGCTTTCTCTGCTTTTCTTCCACTCGTAACTTTTCGTGGACTTCTTTAATGAAGCTACAAACGATGTCCCAATTTTCTTTCTTTTCCATTGCCACATCTATTATGTTTGCGACGTTAATAACCCTTCCTATGACTACTTCAATTGACAAACGCGCATTTTCAAATCTTGGACAGCAGAACATAACATGCTCAGCATCTTCAGTTTGGGTTTTGCAATACGGACAATTTGGAGTCGTATCCAGACCAAATTTGTACAGATAGGACCTGTACCCTCCGTGCCCAGTGAGGAATTGCGTCAGGTAGTAGTTTACTTCGCCGTGACATCTGAGTACCCATGGTTCTATTTTTGGAATCAGTCTAAACGTCCATCTCCCTTTTAGGCTTTCTTCCCAACTCTTCTGCCATATTTGCATGGATTTTAATCTTTCCATTTTCGCTATTTCCTTTGCATTTGATGGGTTTGATTTTTTTTGCTCATATACCCGTCTTGCTTCGTCCGCTAATATCTCGATAGGGATCATTCCGGCTACAACATAAGCTGCTTCTTCAGAATTTGTTCTATATGAGCTGCAAACTCTTAAAGCACATAATCTGTACACGGATTTCAGCTTTTTTGCAGCTGACTTGACTTTGAGGGCTTCCGACCAAATAGGGGCTGCGTATAGGATCGTCGATTTTACTACTGTTGAGATTAGTCTTCTTTTGCACTGTTTAGGTCCTCCGACGTTAGGCATCATTCTAGATAATGCAGCCGCAATATTAGATGCTTTCGAGCTTATTTTTTCAATATGTGGTTTGAAATTTAGCTTATCGTCTATAACTACTCCTAAATATGTAAGATGCTGCTGAGATGAGATGGTGTGGTTTCCAATTTGTATATTTATTTTCTCCCGTTTCCGACGACTGCTTATTAGCACAGCTTCTGTTTTGTGTTCGGCTAATTCCAATCCGCTTGTTTTCATCCATACTCTAATAGCGTTCACTGTTTCATTTGCTAGTAGCTCGATTTCTTCAATATATCTAGCAGTGACGACTATAACGATGTCGTCCGCGAAACATACTGTGTTAGCTTCATCTGGAATTTTAAGGTTTAATACATCATTGTACATGATATTCCACAGTAGTGGACCTAAGACCGAACCCTGTGGAACACCTGCGGTTATGGTGTATGTACTCTTGCCATCGTCAGTGTTGTAGTAAAGCTCTCTGTTGGAGAAGTAGCTCCCAATAATCCTTGTCAAGTACTCGGGTACTCCAAGTCTGCATAGGGTATCCATGATACGTCCCCAATCCGCAGTATTAAATGCGTTTTTCACGTCGAGGGTTATTATTGCACAATATTTTCTGTCCGCTCCTTGTCCTTCAATCGCCTTTTTAGCTGTATTCACTACAATGTTTATTGCATCGATCGTGGATCTTGACTTCCTGAATCCGTATTGACGGTCGGAGAGTCCACCCTTTGCTTCCACAGCAGGAAGTAGTCGTTTGTATATAACGCTTTCCAAGGTCTTGCCAATGGAATCAAGAAGACATATAGGTCTGTAGGATGAAGGCTCTCCCAAGGGTTTATTAGGTTTCGGAATTAGAACTAATGTTTGTTTCTTCCACCTTTCTGGGAATATACCTTCTTCCAAACAACTATTGAACACTTTAGCGAATAGGCTTGGAGCGGATAATATCGCTATTTTCACTGCTCTATTTGGAATACAATCTGGTCCTGGGGCTTTTTTGTCAGATAACAGCATTGCCATTTGAACCAGTTCTTCCTCCGTTACTGCCGTTATTGTCTCGCGACTTATAGCTGTGTCTCTTGTGAACAGAACGTTGATATGTTCAGGAAACAAAGTTTCAACTATTCTTCTTACTAAGAGGGGACAGGTAGGTTGTGGAGATCTTCCTGCCTTCAAACGAGAAGTAACTACTTTATATGCTTTCCCCCAGGGGTCTGCTTCTGCCTCGAGACATATTTCTCCAAAGCATTTGCGCTTGCTTCTTGAAATAGCGTTTTGGAATTCTCTTCTCGCTATTTTGTATTCCTGTTGTCTTTCCATGAAATCATGTCGGTTTCGTCGGCGTTGGCTTCTCCTTCTGGATTTTAAGCATTTCTTTCGGAGATTACTTATTTCCATGTTCCACCAGTAGGTCGGCGGCCTGTTTTCAGTGATCCTTCTTCTCGGCATGGATATGTCACATGCTTCTCTTAATTTTGACATTAGTTGTCTAGCCATTTCTGTCGCTGTACCTTCCAATGTTAGGCTACTAGTGATTGCAACCTTGAAGGATTCTTCATCAAGCTTGTTGGATGCCCACCCTCTAAAACTCGTGTGTGCTGTGTTCTTTGCGCTATACTTCGTATTTGATTCCTCAATAGTGAAGATTATGGCCTGATGGTCGCTGTGAGTGTACTGTTCACTGACTTTCCAGTCGATCCTTCGTGCCATAGAACTACTAACAAATGTAAGATCCACAATTGAACCTAGACCTCTTGCTCTGAAGGTGTTAGCATCGCCCTTATTAACTAAGGTTAAATCATCACTGGAAAATGTTTCCAGCAAGATGCGACCTCTGTTGTTAGTGGATCTACTTCCCCACTCAGTAGACCACGCGTTAAAATCTCCGGCGATAATTTTTGGATTGTGGGTTTCCGCGTCTCTTTTCAGCCGGTTTAGCATTTGTTCGAATTGCTCGATTGATGCGCTAGGTGGGGCGTAACAGCTATATATGTATATGCCTCCTATTTTGGCTCTTACAAATCCTTCTTCCAATTGTTTTTGGGTGTTCTCTATCGCACGCTTTCCACATGCCCATATCGCTGTTTTGCTAGACTTGTCCTTGGCCCAGACGCTTGTTTGAAGATTTCTGTGTTGTTCACATATAATGGCGACATCAACACCAGTTTCGCAGATAGTCTGCGAAAGCAGGTCCTGTGCCGCCCGACAGTGGTTGAGATTAAGTTGGATAAATCTCATCTGCGGACTTTTTCCAGTGCTTCTTTGAAAACTGGACATCTTCCGCTACCTGCCACATGGTTGGTTTCTCCTCTTTGCCTTTGTTTGCAGAGCATGCATTCTGGATCTTTTGTGCAGTCCTTTGCTATGTGCCCACTTATTCCGCACCTTCTACACAGTTTAGATCTGTCTTGAGGATTTGTACAATACTTTGCCATGTGTCCGTACCCCAAGCATCTATAGCATTGCCGAATGTTCACCCTTTCTCTAATGCGACATACTACCCATCCTATCTTCACCTTTCCAATTTGTAGGAGTCGGTAGCATATTTCCGAAGGAAGACTTATTGTTGCCGTCTGAGTGCCGCCGTAGGCTCTCCTCAAGCTCTTAATGTCTTCTAGTTTCATTTTGGATACGCCTAGTTGAGTAAGAAAGGCGTTGCGAATATCATCTTTTGTTGTGACCTCGTCGATATCTCTACATTCTATAATTGTCTCCTGCCTTCGAGTCATGATCTCAGCTTTAGGGCCAATAGACTTCTTCATTTGTCCACGGAATAGATCCACACTTGCTTGATCCTTGGTATTAATCTCAAGCAGGAGCTCTCCTTTCTGTGTCCTTCTTATTCGAGATACGCTTTCTCCCACGTCCTTTAGGGATGGATCTCCTTTGAGTTGCTTCAGAATGTCCGCATATGACGTGTCTAGTCTATAGTCTAGTCTATAGTCTAGTCTATAGTCTAGTCTATAGTCTAGTCTATAGTCTAGTCTATAGTCTAGTCTATAGTCTAGTCTATAGTCTAGTCTAGTCTATAGTCTAGTCTATAGTCTAGTCTATAGTCTAGTCTATAGTCTAGTCTATAGTCTAGTCTATAGTCTAGTCTATAGTCTAGTCTATAGTCTAGTCTATAGTCTAGTCTAGTCTAGTCTATAGTCTAGTCTATAGTCTAGTCTATAGTCTAGTCTATAGTCTAGTCTATAGTCTAGTCTATAGTCTAGTCTATAGTCTAGTCTATAGTCTAGTCTATAGTCTAGTCTATAGTCTAGTCTATAGTCTAGTCTATAGTCTAGTCTATAGTCTAGTCTATAGTCTAGTCTATAGTCTAGTCTATAGTCTAGTCTATAGTCTAGTCTATAGTCTAGTCTATAGTCTAGTCTATAGTCTAGTCAATAGTCTAGTCTATAGTCTAGTCTATAGTCTAGTCTATAGTCTAGTCTATAGTCTAGTCTATAGTCTAGTCTATAGTCTATTCTATAGTCTAGTCTATAGTCTAGTCTATAGTCTAGTCTATAGTCTAGTCTATAGTCTAGTCTATAGTCTAGTCTATAGTCTAGTCTATAGTCTAGTCTATAGTCTAGTCTATAGTCTAGTCTATAGTCTAGTCTATAGTCTAGTCTATAGTCTAGTCTATAGTCTAGTCTATAGTCTAGTCTATAGTCTAGTCTATAGTCTAGTCTATAGTCTAGTCTATAGTCTAGTCTATAGTCTAGTCTATAGTCTAGTCTATAGTCTAGTCTATAGTCTAGTCTATAGTCTAGTCTATAGTCTAGTCTATAGTCTAGTCTATAGTCTAGTCTATAGTCTAGTCTATAGTCTAGTCTATAGTCTAGTCTATAGTCTAGTCTATAGTCTAGTCTATAGTCTAGTCTATAGTCTAGTCTATAGTCTAGTCTATAGTCTAGTCTATAGTCTAGTCTATAGTCTAGTCTATAGTCTAGTCTATAGTCTAGTCTATAGTCTAGTCTATAGTCTAGTCTATAGTCTAGTCTATAGTCTAGTCTATAGTCTAGTCTATAGTCTAGTCTATAGTCTAGTCTATAGTCTAGTCTATAGTCTAGTCTATAGTCTAGTCTATAGTCTAGTCTATAGTCTAGTCTATAGTCTAGTCTATAGTCTAGTCTATAGTCTAGTCTATAGTCTAGTCTAGTCTCTATAGTCTAGTCTATAGTCTAGTCTATAGTCTAGTCTATAGTCTAGTCTATTGTTTAGTCTATAGTCTAGTCTATAGTCTAGTCTATAGTCTAGTCTATAGTCTAGTCTATAGTCTAGTCTATAGTCTAGTCTATAGTCTAGTCTATAGTCTAGTCTATAGTCTAGTCTATAGTCTAGTCTATAGTCTAGTCTATAGTCTAGTCTATAGTCTAGTCTACAGTCTAGTCTATAGTCTAGTCTATAGTCTAGTCTATAGTCTAGTCTATAGTCTAGTCTATAGTCTAGTCTATAGTCTAGTCTATAGTCTAGTCTATAGTCTAGTCTATAGTCTAGTCTATAGTCTAGTCTATAGTCTAGTCTATAGTCTAGTCTATAGTCTAGTCTATAGTCTAGTTTATAGTCTAGTCTATAGTCTAGTCTATAGTCTAGTCTATAGTCTAGTCTATAGTCTAGTCTATAGTCTAGTAGTCTAGTCTATAGTCTAGTAGTCTAGTCTATAGTCTAGTCTATAGTCCAGTCTATAGTCTACTTTGTAGTCTGAAATAAGTATGTATGTATCTCTAGTCATTCTCTATCTCCCTCTTGTTTGTTTTATTTAACAAAATTTATATATCCCTAATACCCCTTCCACCTTAGCAACATGTTGCTATTAATTGTAAAACTTTGTTTTAAACAAATATTAAGACAAAAATTTCATTATATATATTTAACATTTAATGCTTTGGAAAACAATATCAATTTTCATCAAATTATAACACTGTCTTTGAACAATAAATGAATATTTGTGGAGGAGAAAAAAAAAGAAAGCAGACATTTCAACCATTAAATAAATAAGTTTATCCAATTTACTGCTGATGAAATGAGCTTCTCAAAAGCAAACAATTTTTGCTTGTTATGTGTGTGGCAAAGGACAACTGAAGAAGAAGAAGAAAAACTTTTAAAACATTTATGTAGAAAAAGAAAAGAAAATCATTTTCATAACAAGTTTAAAGAAAAAGTGGTAAGATAAGTATTACAGGCGGTCAATAAGAACAGGTGATGAAAATAGGATTTCATAATTTGACTAAGACTTTTGTACAGTAGAAAACTTGTCAAAAGGAGTCATTTTATTGTTGATTTGATAAGAAAAGAAATTAGATTTCATTTGTGTTTGAGATTGAAAATTGTGCTTAAAATTTCAAGATGCCGTCTGTAGGGATTATTTTAAATATTTCTTTTTATTTTTACTGTATGTTTTTGATCTTTAATTTTATAGTACAACGTTGCAGTAGTTGATAGTAAATTTACTAATAAAATATAACAATGAATTTACTTTAACCGTTACGGGGTTTATTAGATTGGTAAATGTTATCTGGAAAAAAAAAATTTTGAACTAGAACAGATATCTACAACGCAATGATCTGATTATTAATCCCTTTTCCCTAAAAATTGCTTTAGTTTTGAGTATCAATGATTTAATATTATTTTTCCTAATCAAGTACGACCCTAATGTTTACATTCTGCTTTAGACAACATGACGCTTTTTCATACCATCATTATAAATAAGTATTTTGTTCTAGACATGTTATAGCTACAGGTATGGTTGAAAAAAACGAACATACTGGTTTAAGTTATTTGAGAAAGTTTTAAATTCTTTATGTTTTCATGTCGTTATTTTAATACTAGAACATTTTTTAAGCTACATTGGTTAAAATTTCATCACATTTCATTTACACTCACCAGCCATAAATCATTGTATAAAGAACGGTAAACAATTTCTGTTTATTTTACATCAGAGAGCAATTTTCAAAATTTTTAATTTTTTTCGCGGTTTAAGCATCACTTTACAACTTTAAGGTTTGATGCGTTGCTTGTCTATAGCATAGAATAGATTAGATTGTAGTACAAACTATAGATTATACTATAGACCGGCCTATAGATTAGACTATAGAACAGACTGTAGACTAGACAATACACCAGACTGTAGACTAGAATTTAGGCTAGACTAAACTATAATCTATAGTCTAGACTATAGACTAGACTATAGACTAGACTATAGACTAGACTATAGACTAGACTATAGACTAGACTATAGACTAGACTATAGACTAGACTATAGACTAGACTATAGACTAGACTATAGACTAGACTATAGACTAGACTATAGACTAGACTATAGACTAGACTATAGACTAGACTATAGACTAGACTATAGACTAGACTATAGACTAGACTATAGACTAGACTATAGACTAGACTATAGACTAGACTATAGACTAGACTATAGACTAGACTATAGACTAGACTATAGACTAGACTAGCTTAAAGACTTGACTATGTACTAGATTGTAGACTAGGCTATAGACTGGACAATACTATAGATTACTTTTATACAATTTTACACTTTTTCTATTTTACTCACCTCATTAGATACTCTGGTATATTCATCATCATTTGGCTGTTTAGGGGTTACTGTCAACATAGCTGTGTAGGCTTTACGTGCCCTTAAATTGTTCTCTTTGGTATCGTTTTTATCATACCAGGGTTGAGATGTTAAATGGGGAACTCTGTAAAATAAAATAAGAAAATTAAGAAAATATGGAAATTTAATTTAAATAATATAGAAAACTCTTTTACCTTAAACTAGTCGTTCTATTTAGATTATAATTTCGATATAGTTCACAAATATGTCATAATTTTATAAATCTCTTGGTTTGGGAAATATGATTAAATAATTACAATTATCTGTAATTAATATTAATCATACGCCTGGTGTGTCAATAAAAAAAATTATGCCAAATCTTATTTAGTTAATAAATATTAAACTCCTGCTTCTGATGAAAAAAAAAATGTTATTTATTTGCCTTTTATACTTTGACATCATGTTAATAAACATGTTATATCTATATTTATATTAATTACCATATAATAATTGAAACCTAAAACGTAAACCCAGCACTTCATTTACACGAGCATGAAATTTCATGATTTATTTGTTGCTAATAAAATTTTTATTATTTTATTATTAATATTTTGAATAATCAACAAATCACATTAGATCAGCTAGCCAACCAGCCAGACGGTCAATTAATAACAATTTATAATTTATTTATAAATAGAATATAGTATTTTATTCGTATGGTAATATATGTTGCTAAAGGTGTTGTATTTCGCAATAATTTGAGTGTTATTAAAACTGTCTGTCTAAGTAGAAAATATTACATTTTATTGTTTACCTTAATTACTGTTAAAAACATTAGAAAGATGTAATGATTCTTGGCTAAAGTTACTTAAGCATTTCAGCTTATTGTGCCCTCTATAGCTCTACCAGATTTTATCATGATCACTGTAGTAATAAAGAACTTATTTATATATTAAGTTTTAAGTCTTATGGGGCGTATGATTGTTATTAATTACGACTTATTTTAGTATTTTATTCATATTTCTAAAACTAAAAGTTTTAGCGAAATTATTGAAAATGATATTGAAAGCCTACAAATTAAGCTTTTTAACTAATATAGTTGAAGTTATTAAGATTACGAAAACAAGAAGTTCTAGAGTCTGAATTATGAAAATCTGTGTTGGCTTTTATTATTATTGTTTAAGTCATAACCTGAATGGCATCTGTATAGTTGCAAGATCCTAAAGTTTCGTTCTGCTACGATTTTCGTCTTTTATTTCATTTACATTACATAACTATTAACAAGTACTGAGACACTTACGACTCGCCTAAACTTTCATAGAGGTGGTTGTATTGTCCTTCGGTTTCGGTTTAATTTAGACATCAAAAGATGTTAAGACAGGGATGGAAAACTTAAAGTATAGTATCCCCACAACATACAAATATACAGTTATTTGTAAAATTATAAACTCTTGCTAAAGAACATTGTTTCTTTAATAAGTTTTCAAAAGTTTTAAAAAATGTTTGAAAAAGTTTTTTTTTTAGTGAGACAAATCATAAAAGTTCTTATAACATTTAGTACAGATGCGTAAAAAGCCTTTTATATTTATATAACTGTACTCAAAGCTTATTATCTCCCAAAGCTGTTTAACAAATTTTGTCACAATATCTGTAGTAATTTAGAAGTTATTTATATATTTATTTTTTCAACATACGGGACGTATGATTAATATTAATTATGAGTTATTTTAGTTTTTTATAAATATTTCTCAAACTAAAAGATTTAGCCTTTTGGTTTAAAATGCTATAGAAAGCTAACAAATTATGATTCGAAATCAAGATAATTAAAGTTGGAAATACATTCTAAATTATAAGTCATTGAGACTGTATATTGAATATCTTTCATTGGGTTCTTTAGCGAAAAAGTAAAATACTGTTTTCTTCAGAAATTAGAGACTTTTAGCCTCTATTAGCCATAATCTTTTCCCATCTAATTGGCAACAGTTAGATGTACGCGAAAAGTACTCCCCTGAGACCAAGAACGAATCAGTCCAATTTTGGATATCCTGTTTTTAACGAAAGTGTATCAAAGAGGGAGCGTTCTGCATTAACCGAATCAAGTACCAGTCAGATGGGACAAGGCCTGGTGAGGAAAAACTCGCAACCACTTCCATCTAGATAGTTGCCAACATGTATTGCAATATGTGACAAAGCGTTGTCATAATGGAATAGTTCGTTCTTAAAATCACCATTTCTGAAACGTACGTTGAAAACGATGAATCTGTTCATCATAAGTTTCTAACATTTTAATAAGTTTCTAAATTTTTACAAATTATTTTCGTATTTTGACTCACTGTATCCCATCGTCTATTGAAATTGGAACATTTCTGAGAGCAATATAACAAGCATAATATCTTAGTTATTGTTGAGCCAAATTTGGTAACAATAGCTCTGATAGTTTTTAAGTTTTTTACAACTTTATTAAAATATAAACTCTATTGTACTACATGACGTATGATTGATATTAATTAGGACTTTTTTTACATTTTGCAACCTATTTTAGAAGCTAAAACGTTTAGGTGAATTATTTAAAATGTTGTTGAAAGCTAAGAAAATAGGCTTTCCATACAATATAGTTTGAGTTCCATATATAACTCAAGCCAAGGTTTAATTGATAGCCAAAAGTAGATTTTTTTTTGCCTTTCAACTTTCGAATTTTATCATCTTAGCAAAATTCTTATATAATTATTTTTGCTCTTAATTTCCCTTAAGGAAATGACTAACAAAAAAACTTGTTGTTTAATTTGATGTTCAGTCACACCTGCAAGTCTATAGATTCTTTTAAGAGTTTCAGTAAATGATTTTCATCTTGATATAATGAAATTATTCATTAGACAGACATGTAAAAGATTTGTACATATGAATCAGCAAGTTTTTTTATTCATATTAGTAGTTTATTTATTCTATTTTTTCATATTTTTCGTTCGACTTAAAGTTCAATGCAAAATCTTTAGGGAACAACATCAGCGTGATTTATTACAACTAGTGCAATAAGATTTAAGGTGTTAGTTTAATCTCTAACTACTTATTGACGTAAGCTTTGAATGCAGCTGAACTTTCAACAAAAAAAAAAAAAAAACTTGCAATAAAAAAATAGACAAATTGTTTAAATAATTATACAGCGATTGATAAATATAAATTTAATAGAATTACACATCGATAACAGCTAAAAGTCTTACATAATAAAGCCAATGCTCTTAGTTTTCATTATCGTTTTGAATTATTTACTTAAAGCTCTTAGTTTGGGAAATATGATTAAATAACTACAATAACTCATAATTAATAACAATCATACGTCCTGTTTGCCAATAAAAGAAAATATGTCCATACCACTAAAACATGTTTATTTAACAACAAATAACTAATTTTCTTTTTAAAACTTAATAATAAATTAATTTTCAACCACTTCCTGACGCGACATGTCATTAACAAAGTTATTAAACAACACTTTTTGACTTATAGCTATAATTGGGTTAATTGTGTGATATTTAGTGCTATTAATTAGTTTTTTTTTGAGGAGCAGAAATTGTTAAAACAAATATCAGATTTCTTGTAGTTACAATTTGGCGCCTTTAACTTAAAGACAATGTGGCGTCATGTTTAAAAAATGTCATTAAACCTTAGATTTTTTGTTGTAAAAGTAGACAATTCAGATGAGAGTTACTTAATTAAATTAATTGATTAAGAAAAGTGTAAAGGTTTGAGGCTATGTTTTATTAAACTTCATAGTTGAGTTCTAGTTCGGTTCTAGTTCAGTTCTAGTTCAGTTCTAGTTCAGTTCTAGTTTCAGTTCTAGTTCAGTTCTAGTTCTAGTTCAGTTCTAGCTTCAGTTCTAGTTCGTTCTAGTTCAGTTCTAGTTCAGTTTCTAGTTCAGTTCTAGTTCAGTTCTAGTTCAGTTCTAGTTCAGTTCTAGTTCAGTTCTAGTTCAGTTCTAGTTCAGTTGTAGTTCAGTTCTAGTTCAGTTCTAGTTCAGTTCTAGTTCAGTTTTTCAGTTCTAGTTCAGTTCTAGTTCAGTTCTAGTTCAGTTCTAGTTCAGTTCTAGTTCAGTTCTAGTTCAGTTCTAGTTCAGTTCTAGTTCAGTTCTAGTTCAGTCTAGTTCAGTTCTAGTTCAGTTCTAGTTCAGTTCTAGTTCAGTTCTAGTTCAGTTCTAGTTCAGTTCTAGTTCAGTTCTAGTTCAGTTCTAGTTCAGTTCTAGTTCAGTTCTAGTTCAGTTCTAGTTCAGTTCTAGTTCAGTTCTAGTTCAGTTCTAGTTCAGTTAGTCTAGTTCTAGTTCAGTTCTAGTTCAGTTCTAGTTCAGTTCTAGTTCAGTTCTAGTTCAGTTCTAGTTCAGTTCTAGTTCAGTTCTAGTTCAGTTCTAGTTCAGTTCTAGTTCAGTTCTAGTTCAGTTCTAGTTCAGTTCTAGTTCAGTTCTAGTTCAGTTCTAGTTCAGTTCTAGTTCAGTTCTAGTCAGTTCTAGTTCTAGTTCAGTTCTAGTTCAGTTCTAGTTCAGTTCTAGTTCAGTTCTAGTTCAGTTCTAGTTCAGTTCTAGTTCAGTTCTAGTTCAGTTCTAGTTCAGTTCTAGTTCAGTTCTAGTTCAGTTCTAGTTCAGTTCTAGTTCAGTTCTAGTTCAGTTCTAGTTCAGTTCTAGTTCAGTTCCTAGTTCAGTTCTAGTTCAGTTCTAGTTCAGTTCTAGTTCAGTTCTAGTTCAGTTCTAGTTCAGTTCTAGTTCAGTTCTAGTTCAAGTTCTAGTTCAGTTCTAGTTCAGTTCTAGTTCAGTTCTAGTTCAGTTCTAGTTCAGTTCTAGTTCAGTTCTAGTTCAGTTCTAGTTCAGTTCTAGTTCAGTTCTAGTTCAGTTCTAGTTCAGTTCTAGTTCAGTTCTAGTTCAGTTCTAGTTCAGTTCTAGTTCAGTTCTAGTTCAGTTCTAGTTCAGTTCTAGTTCAGTTCTAGTTCAGTTCTAGTTCAGTTCTAGTTCAGTTCTAGTTCAGTTCTAGTTCAGTTCTAGTTCAGTTCTAGTTCAGTTCTAGTTCAGTTCTAGTTCAGTTCTAGTTCAGTTCTAGTTCAGTTCTAGTTCAGTTCTAGTTCAGTTCTAGTTCAGTTCTAGTTCAGTTCTAGTTCAGTTCTAGTTCAGTTCTAGTTCAGTTCTAGTTCAGTTCTAGTTCAGTTCTAGTTCAGTTCTAGTTCAGTTCTAGTTCAGTTCTAGTTCAGTTCTAGTTCAGTTCTAGTTCAGTTCTAGTTCAGTTCTAGTTCAGTTCTAGTTCAGTTCTAGTTCAGTTCTAGTTCAGTTCTAGTTCAGTTCTAGTTTCAGTTCTAGTTCAGTTCTAGTTCAGTTCTAGTTCAGTTCTAGTTCAGTTCTAGTTCAGTTCTAGTTCAGTTCTAGTTCAGTTCTAGTTCAGTTCTAGTTCAGTTCTAGTTCAGTTCTAGTTCAGTTCTAGTTTCAGTTCTAGTTCAGTTCTAGTTCAGTTCTAGTTCAGTTCTAGTTCAGTTCTAGTTCAGTTCTAGTTCAGTAGTTCATTTCTATTCAGTTCTAGTTCAGTTCTAGTTCAGTTCTAGTTCAGTTCTAGTTCAGTTCTAGTCAGTTCTAGTTCAGTTCTAGTCAGTTCTAGTTCAGTTATAGTTCTCAGTTCTAGTTCAGTTCTAGTTCAGTTCTAGTTCAGTTCTAGTTCAGTTCTAGTTCAGCTCTAGTTCAGTTCTAGTTCAGTTCAGTTCTAGTTCCAGTTCCGTTCTAGTTCAGTTCTAGTTCAGTTCGTAGTTCGTTCTAGTTCAGTTCTTAGTTCAGGTTCTAGTTCAGTCTAGTTCAGTTCTAGTCAGTTCTAGTTCAGTTCTAGTTCAGTCTAGTTCAGTTCTAGTTCAGTTCTAGTTCAGTTCTAGTTCAGTTCTAGTTCAGTTCTAGTTCAGTTCTAGTTCAGTTCAGTTCTAGTTCAGTTCTAGTTCAGTTCTAGTTCAGTCAGTTCAGTTCTAGTTCAGTTCTAGTTCAGTTCTAGTTCAGTTCTAGTTCAGTTCTAGTTCAGTTCTAGTTCAGTTCTAGTTCAGTTCTAGTTCAGTTTCTAGTTCAGGTTCTAGTTCAGTTCTAGTTCAGTTCTAGTTCAGTTCTAGTTCAGTTCTAGTTCAGTTCTAGTTCAGTTCTAGTTCAGTTCTAGTTCAGTTCTAGTTCAGTTCTAGTCAGTTCTAGTTCAGTTCTAGTTCAGTTCTAGTTCAGTTCTAGTTCAGTTCTAGTTCAGTTCTAGTTCAGTTCTAGTTCAGTTCTAGTTCAGTTCTAGTTCTAGTTCAGTTCAGTTCAGTTCTAGTTCAGTTCTAGTTCAGTTCTAGTTCAGTTCTAGTTCAGGTTCTAGTTCAGTTCTAGTTCAGTTCTAGTTCAGTTCTAGTTCAGTCTAGTTCAGTTCTAGTTCAGTTCTAGTTCAGTTCTAGTTCAGTTCTAGTTCAGTTCTAGTTCAGTTCTAGTTCAGTTCTAGTTCAGTTCTAGTTCAGTTCTAGTTCAGTTCTAGTTCAGTTCTAGTTCAGTTCTAGTTCAGTTCTAGTTCAGTTATATACCTATTCTTTAAATTCAAATAAAATTCTTCACTTACCTTGAAAATAATTCGATATTAATGAAAACATATTCGCCACTGTCAATCATATTCAATTCCTCGGCTGTCAACATTATTTGCCGTATCGACTGAGGATCAGCACACATAATGACAACTGTAAAGATAAATAAAAATATAAAAATTTAATTTAATTTCATTGCAAATATTTCTATATTTATAAAGCGATTTAAAAATAATCTTCACTCATATAAATTTGTTTGCATTTAGAATTTAATTAAAGCTAATATAGAATTTGACGAGTTAAGTCTTTTTTCTACAAAAAAAAACTTCTTATTAGATTTCAGTTTTATTTCAATTTTATATTCATATTTTAATTAATTTATTATTTATCATTAATTATTAAGTGTTGGAATGTTTGAAATTATGAAAAGAAACGGAAAATATTCAAAGACCACACTTGTGGCAGAGTTTTAAAGAGTTAAATAAATGTTTATTTTTCTTTGAATATTGTTTTAATTGTTTTGTTATTATTTTGTTTTGAGAATTTTGTTTTTTGCTTTCTGGTTCTATGTTTAGAATAATAATTGAAGTTTATGGCTGTTTATAATTTATTCATTACGTCAGTGGGTGAAGAGAACTTTGTACCAAGAACCAAAGAAATAAGTGTGTATTTACATAAATAAATATGCTTAAGTAACGAGGGTGGTTTGCAAAGTTTATAAGCAGTAAAGTTGGAAGTTAAATAAACCGCGTTATATCTGATTATTGATAATATAAATTATACAAATTCTATCATCTCCATTAAAATCTGAAATTCCCGACATTTTAACAAGTTCTTTTAACGGAATTCTATTTCAAAACATCTCGATTATGAAGCTTGTTAGGTTGGCTTTCTATTGATTTTTAAATAATTAAATTAAAGTTTTTGGTTTCAGAAATATTTTGAAATATCTAAATTAAGTCATAATTAATATTAATCATACGTCCCGTAGTACAGTAATATTAAATGAACATTTAATAACTTCTGTTATAAATATTTTTTTATAAATGTCCATCTTTCAATTCCATATTCATTTATTTAGAACATCTGCATGAACAAATTTATTTAAATTATTTACATTTGTAATGTTTTTCTTACATTAGCAAAAAATTTTCTATTAATTAAACATTTCTTAAGCATAAATATTTCAACAATTTGCATTATTTTTCTTAAAATATCTAAAAGTATTTATTGTTATTAAAACAAAAACAAAATATTTTCTTATTGAAAAAACATTTGTAATACTTAAAATGTTCTTAAATATATCATTATTATTAAATATTTATTGTTATCAGAAAAAAAGTATTTATTTTCTTTTTTTCCACCTGTTTAGAAGTGAATGCTGTGTGAATTGCTATTTGTTTCCACTTTTCTATATTTTTGGCAAACATCTTTCATACATCCGCTAAATGTTTTCTCTGATTCTTGGCGGGATTGTAATAAGAATTAGGTAAACAAGCAGCCAACTAGCCACCACCAGCAGCACCACTGACCATAGACAAACACATTAAAAACGCGAAAGATATAGGAAAATTCTAATTAAAGTCATTTTTCATTTCAATATTTATTTTTCATTGTGCTAAATTTACTTAAAGGGGTTTTTTTTGCGGTTGTTTAATGTGTGGGTATTGAAAGATATGATATTTTTACAATGTAAATAGTTTTAACAGTACAGTTATAGGGTAATGAACTGAACTAGACTGAACTTGACTGAACTAGAACTGAACTGAACTAGAATTGAACTAGAACTGATCTAGAACTGAACTAGAACTGAACTAGAACTAACTAGAACTGAACTAGAACTGAACTAGAACTGAACTAGAACTGAACTAGAACTGAACTAGAACTGAACTAGAACTGAACTAGAACTGAACTAGAACTGAACTAGAACTGAACTAGAACTGAACTAGAACTGAACTAGAACTGAACTAGAACTGAACTGAACTAGAACTGAACTAGAACTGAACTAGAACTGAACTAGAACTGAACTAGAACTGAACTAGAACTGAACTAGAACTGAACTAAACTGAACTAGAACTGAACTAGAACTGAACTAGAACTGAACTAGAACTGAACTAGAACTGAACTAGAACTGAACTAGAACTGAACTAGAACTGAACTAGAACTGAACTAGAACTGACCTAGAACTGACCTAGAACTGACCTAGAACTGACCTAGAACTGACCTAGAACTGAACTAGAACTGAACTAGAACTGAACTAGAACTGAACTAGAACTGAACTAGAACTGAACTAGAACTGAACTAGAACTGAACTAGAACTGAACTAGAACTGAACTAGAACTGAACTAGAACTGAACTAGAACTGAACTAGAACTGAACTAGAACTGAACTAGAACTGAACTTGAACTGAACTAGAACTGAACTAGAACTGAACTAGAAATGAACTAGAACTGAACTAGAACTGAACTAAACTGAACTAGAACTGAACTAGAACTGAACTAGAACTGAACTAGAACTGAACTAGAACTGAACTAGAACTGAACTAGAACTGAACTAGAACTGAACTAGAACTGAACTAGAAGAACTAGACTGAACTAGAACTAACCTGACTGAACTAGAACTGAACTAGAACTGAACTAGAACTGAAAGAACTGAACTAGAACTGAACTAGAACTGAACTAGAACTGAACTAGAACTGAACTAGAACTGAACTAGAACTGAACTAGAACTGAACTAGAACTGAACTAGAACTGAACTAGAACTGAACTAGAACTGAACTAGAACTGAACTAGAACTGAACTAGAACTGAACTAGAACTGAACTAGAACTGAACTAGAACTGACTAGAAACTGAACTAGAACTGAACTAGAACTGAACTAGAACTGAACTAGAACTGAACTAGAACTGAACTAGAACTGAACTAGAACTGAACTAGAACTGAACTAGAACTGAACTAGAACTGAACTAGAACTGACTAGAACTGAACTAGAACTGAACTGAAGAACTAGAACTGAACTAGAACTGAACTAGAACTGAACTAGAACTGAACTAGAACTGAACTAGAACTGACTAGAACTGAACTAGAACTGAACTAGAACTGAACTAGAACTGAACTAGAACTGAACTAGAACTGAACTAGAAACTGACTAGAACTGACTAAACTGAACTAGAACTGAACTAGAACTGAACTAGAACTGAACTAGAACTGAACTAGAACTGAAGTAGAACTGAACTAGAACTGAACTAGAACTGAACTAGAACTGAACTAGAACTGAACTAGAACTGAACTAGAACTGAACTAGAACTGAACTAGAACTGAACTAGAACTGAACTAGAACTGAAGTAGAACTGAACTAGAACTGAACTAGAACTGAACTAGAACTGAACTAGAACTGAACTAGAACTGAACTAGAACTGAACTCTAGAACTGAACTAGAACTGAACTAGAACTGAACTAGAACTGAACTAGAAACTGAACTAGAACTTGACTAGAACTGAACTAGAACTGAACTAGAACTGAACAGAACTGAACTAGAACTGACTAGAACTGACTAGACTAGAACTGAACTAGAACTGAACTAGAACTGAACTAGAACTGAACTAGAACTGAACTAGAACTGAACTAGAACTGAACTAGAACTGAACTAGAACTGAACTAGAACTGACTAGAACTGAACTAGGAACTGAACTAGAACTGAAATAGAACTGAACTAGAACTGACCTAGAACTGAACTAGAACTGACTAGAACTGAACTAGAACTGAACTAGAGCTCAAACTTATGTAGACTGTAAACATTTATGTAAAATTTAAGAATTATTATTTAACTTACATTTAAGTTATTAACAATGAAAGGAAAAAATATGACTTTGACCATAATAAAAAAAAACAAATTCTGAAAAGCTACAAACACGTTGCAACGTGCAAATGTTATTTTTGTTTAATTCTAAATACTTTCAATTCCAATATTAAATAAATACCATTGCCGCGAGACAGGTAAATAAATACTCGTTGAATATTCTAGACCAATAATATTGTAAGTTCATAGTGAGTGAGTGATTTCTTTCATTCTTTAACCAGACAATGTGTCTACTTGTGTTTGTGGCTGTTGGTAATTTAATAAAATAAATCATTTTTTTGTTCTGTTCTCAATCTATCTGACTGTGTGTCTTACATTTCTTAAACGTGTACGACAGCGAGCCGGTATTTGGTTGGTTAAATTTCGTATACGTTTTAAGATTTGCTACATTTATTTATTCATGACACAATTACATTGTATTTTCGTTTGATTTGTAGAATATGTCTGTCTGTCTAGTTGTTTTTATAAAGGTTTTGTGTGATTTGATTATTTTGTGTCTTTTTTTGCTTTATTTATAAACAATTATTTTTTTTATTATAAAATTGTTTATATTTGTTTTTCTTATTTTGCAAAAAAAAAAAAAAAAATAGAAATGCTAAAGAAATTGTAGTTAAAATAACATGTAGACAAAAGAAACATACGCCCAATAAGGAAATAAATAAATAAATTGTTAAGAAAAGTGAGTTGTAATCAATTATATCGACAGGTATAGTGGGTGAGAAAAGTTGCTTGACACAAGTATGTAAATAAACAAAATTACAAAATTGTAAGAAAATCCCTCAATCAAGAAGAACTTTTTATACTTTGTTCTGATATTTGTAACATTGCTGTGTGCATACTTTTGTGTCCCACTATTATTATATGTCTAGATTGCCAAGGCGCCAAAGTCTTTTATTTGTAAACATTAATTTGTTTTATTTAAATTAAAAATAAAACGTAAAAATAATACAAATAAACTATAAAAAAGTATAAAAATAAAAATATTTTAAAATATTTTCTTTAAAACGTTCTGGCAAAGCAATTTTCCTGTTGTGCGTTTCCTTTACAATGGGATATTAAATCAGCACTTAAAATTACAGCTAGAAATGAACCGTAATAGAAAAAGCCATAAATATCAAATTAACAGCTTTTGCCACACTTTGTAGTATCAACATTTTCCGTCAATATCTGTTTTTATTTTCTCATTCTTTAGTAGACTTTTCAAATTTATTAGTCAAGTCGTTTTAAGTCAATAAAGACATTTAATTACAATAAAATTGCAAAAAAAAAAAAAACTAAAACAATAAAATAAATTAAAAATGGCAAC